TGTGTGTGTGTGTGTGTGTGTGTGTGTGTGTGTGTGTGTGTGTGTGTGTGTGTGTGTGTGTTTCTATATAAATATACACACAACTATATAACCCAGTGACCCTCACACACACACTTCCTCTTTACCTATAATTGCAAGTGGTTGGAGGTGGAGGGTGCAGATCACTGATTTCACTTCCTGTTTGACTCTGGAAGACCAGCTTTATCTAGCTAATTCATAGGCCGCTCTCTCTCATTTCTCAGTACAATATAGGAGATCCAGATTCAGCTTTAGAAAGCTTTTGCCAAATAAATCACAGTTTGGCTCAATGAATGTTCTGGTAAGGTGAACTGGCTCTTAAAGCCCATATGAGGATATACAGATTGACTCTATATCCATACTGAGGATATACAGACTGACTGCGGATGGGGGAGATAGTGCTATGTCTTTCTTGAACCAGGGTTCAGATGAGTACCTTCACCACCAGTACTCTGGGGATAGAGATAACAACTAGGTACATTGTGGAATCTTTTGCAAAATGGTTATTTTCCAGGTAGCTCCAGGTTTTTCTTCACCCCCCTGCCAAGACAGGGAGATACAAGTCCCTTTCTTACATATGAGAGCTGACCAAGAGCAGTGAAGTGACTTACTAAATGGCACGCAGAATGCTGGGACAAAGTAGGGACTTTACCCAGCCTCGAGTGCCCCGTTCACTCTGAATCCTTCCCCTTGTGGTTTCATTTTGGTTATACTTCATTTGGAAATCATTTAATTCAGGAACAAAATGTCTAAAATGAGTACTTCAATATTTCACCATGAAATTATTTGCAACCAAGTCTCTTCCCAAAATAGCACTAAACTGCATCCCAAGTTCTCACATGATCTTCAATTATACATCTTAAAAAGAGACTAATTTCCTAGCAGACACTGCCTCCTTGTGGACACACACTTTCCATTAAAATCTGTGTTCAGATTAATTATTTGGTTGCCTTTTAATGTAAAAGTTCAGATGTTAGGGCTTGAATGGGCCACATGCTGCTTTGAAATGTAATAATTATACCAGGTCAGTCTGGTTCTGCAGTTGCAATTAAGAAAATTAATGGGATAAGCACATCCCATAAGCCTTGCTGTACTTTAATAGGACTTGACATTTTCTTGTTATTTTTTGTTCCTCTGGCGTGGAGAGTTAATGAAATCAGATGATTAGGAAAATGAAGCATGGAAACAGAAACCAAAGAAACAGTTATGCAGGCACCCTCACTTGGAGTATTTAACAGGTTCGACAAAGTATTTTCTCCTTTTCACTTCTGCACATGGAGTATTGTGTACATTAAGCCATTTTGCTAGAGGAAACTGAAATACCATTTGTGCAGCATGAACACTTTGATTCTTATTTATCTTTTTTTTTGAGATTTATCGAAAAAGTAGGAAGATGAGATCTCAGCCCTAGGGAACTTACAGCCAAGGGTGGAGAATGAAGGGAAAATGGGAAGCAGCAAAGCAAGGAAGAGCTGCTGTCAGAAGCTGTGACTGGTCAAGGATCCCTTGTGCTAGGACACAAACAAAAAGGTGCCCAGCGTCTCCCAGAAAGTCAGTAACAAGCTTCTTATGAAAGTCTGCTTTTCCCATGGTTCAGTTCAGTGCCCTTCCCTGCCTCTCAGGCACAGTGTGCAGTTGGCTTCTCGTCCCCCACTTGCAACCAGATGCATCTATACAAGACATTTGCTGTGTAGCTACCTAATTAGCTCTACAGTAAAGTCTCAGCCTCTACATGTGCAGCTCTATTGGGCCACAGGAAACCAGGTTAGAGCAGCCTAGGCTAGAGGCTGACCCTCCAGGCCCCCTGCCAGCTGGGGCTGCTCCACCCCAGCTCAACATGCTGCGGTGTCGGGCGCACATGAAGACACAGCACCCAGGAGTAATACATTCTGGAATGTGTTGGAGTTCATTCATTCAAAATTAATCTGAAGTGTAGGTGTGCCCACCACCTCCCTACCCTAGTTAATCAGGTAGCAAATTATACCTGAGAGCAGCTCCCACCATGCTTGTGTAGGGTCAGGTGCTCTCTAGCCTGGAAGGCCCCAGCTGCAACATGTAGCTCCTGCTGTAACCAAATACGCTGCCATGCCGTTTGTCAGTAGCAAGGCTAGGGATTGGCTAGGGATTCTTCAGCAGACCACATTCCCCATCAGAAAGTGTCATTGCCCTGGCCTCAAAGATTTCCCTGGGACTGTGAATTAGAATCAGGCTGAATTTGGATGGAAACCTGCCCTGCTTCCTGCCAGCTCGCCTTCCCACCTCCCCAGACACTGGCTCCATGGCAGCTTGCCAGGCAGACAGCTGGGACTGCCAGGCTCCACAGGCAGCTGGCTTGTTTGGTGACTGCTAAGGCTGTAGCAAACTGAGAGGTCACCATGGTGGAGCAGGAGTGGGATGGTATATGTGCGTAGACTGCACAGGTAGCCTGACTGATTGTCGGGCAAGACCCAGCATTGCCTGTGGGTTCAAAAGATTCAAAAGGTTCAAAAGATTCTGCTTGCAGGTCTTTTAAATGGCGCTTCCTTCCCAAACAGCTCTGTTTCATGCAAAATATTACATTTCCAGCTTCTGGTTCTGATTAAAATCACTTCTGTTCAGCCCATCTCCCTCTCCCCAACTTCTACAAATACACAAGTTTTCCATGGGACAGATTCTGGTGCTAATAAATCTCTCCGTCATTTTTAATGTGCATCTTGCTTTAAGCACACTGAAGCGGTCTTCTCACATGATATCAGCATCAGGCTAGAGGAAATTACAGCATTTAAACTCCTCTACAACCCCAGAGTCTTAAGCACAGCAATATCACCAGTCTCCCAGGGAATTAAAAATGGCACAGCACAACAATTAGCACCTGGAAAGCCAGTATTTTAATTCACACATTGGTAGACAGGTTTTGTGTCCTGTGAAAAAGGAAAGAGTAACTGATAGTGCAGAACAACCTGAACCAAGCCCAGACTACCAGACATAAAAATACTGGCCCATGTCCAACCAGGGAAAGC